GGGGGGGGGGGGGGGGGGGGAAATCAGTAGGACATATATATTTTGATTGTTGCAACATAATAAAAATACATTTACAAATCTGTCTTAAGTTCTGGACAGTGTTTTTTGAGAAGGGACGGTGGGAATTAAAAAACTAGAAAAAGTGTTAGTAAACATTTGTTTCTCCCCACTGTAAAACTACTGAGATATTAATTGTTTGGAAAGCAATTCTCTACTGGAATTTGGCTCCCATTAATTACCAGTTACTCTCATGGAGATTAAAACAAAAAAATCATAGTGCCGAATTCTGAGGATGTAGAAAACCAAAAATGTTGAAAATTCCTCTGTCAGCTCCCTTTGAATACTATTCAAACCCTAGTATCTACAGAAGACAACTGACCTTAAGGAAATTAATTCAGTTGCTGATAACTGAATCACAGAACTCTCACAAGCAGTGTCATAAATAGCAGTATTCTGAGAATAAACATTAAAGTGACAGAGGCTGTTCTAGGTTACATGAACCCACCCTCCTCTGAGAGAACATACATGAGCTGTCCATATATATAAATATATGGAAAGAGTCCCAACTAGAATATGACATTTAAAACCATTTTCACTGACTGGAGAGGGAGACACTTGTAGGAAGGCAGGTGGTTTGACTGCTTGGTTTGAAGCAGGCAAAGCCAAATATCTGGGTTTGGGGAATGACTTGGGTTTTGGGCAGGGACTGATTGGAATTATTTTGTTAGGGTTCTTTTTTTCAAGTGTTGTATGTTGCTTTAGCCGATTTAATTCTTTGTCTGGGCAGAAGTTTTCTTTTTACTGTTGGTTTGGGGTTTTTTTCAATAAAAATAACAGTAGTGACAGGCGAATAATTCAAAACTATCTACATCTCTTGCTGAAGATAATTTTTTAAAAATTGATTTCTTATTTGCATACTAAGGAAACAGCCCATAAAATTGTCTTATTTTCTGGCTTATGCCCATATTTACTTACACTTTACCATTCAAAGATTTTTCTTTTGTTTGAAATTTCTTATTGAGGCCTTTTAATTTACTATTTTAGACTAACTCTCTCTCAAAGTATATTTAGCGTGCACTTACTTCAGAGGGAAACATGCAGATTTTTGCAGCTGCCCTCCTTATGGCCTTCCCTCTGCCCCCACAGTAGGCAGTGGAATATCAGACTGGGAAAATGGAGACATACCAAACCACATTTGCCTGCGTGTAGTTAAATGGAAGTTCTTTCTGGGAGATTCCCACTGCAAACCTGCAGGTGGTTGAGTAGGGCTGTGTTCGGGCCTCACTGTTGCCGGGTGCACACGCCTGGGGTGAGATGGGGCAGGAGATGATTGAGGGACCTGCCCTGGGGCTTGTCTGCCAGGGGGACTCTGCATCCCTGCCGCTCTCTACTCCCACACACACGTGTAACACCACGAGGGAGACAGAGTTTGGCAGGTCGTGGGTAACATGGCACTGCAGAACAGGAGAGGAGCTAGCGCAGTGCTGCAGTGTATACATGCGTGAGAGGCTGGTGTAAGCAGGGAGACAAACCAGTGAGTCTTACATATTCTAAATTAATTTTGACAAATGTACATCTTGCAGAGGGTAGCTAAAGGGAGTCTGTTGGAGACGCAGATCTCCGGTAGTATAAGCTTGTGCTGTGGTACCCTGCTTTCTATTCACTCCTCAGTTTAACTTGGAGACACAATTTTCCATTTACCAAGATGTTACATGAATAATAAAAAAGGCAGGTTTTTGGGGCATCCTTCCTTATTTTTGTCCAGTGCTTTAGGAACTACAGAGTGGATTTGGAAGAATTGTGTGTATGCCGTAACCTGAAAAGAAGCAGCCCATATACGATGTTGAAGGAAGAAAGAGATTTTCAAGCGGCCACCTTCTGAGCCTCCAGCCGCAATGGAGCAGACCTTCATTAGCAGCATGACCCCTTGTCACCTGTCAGCACGAAGGACGGGCATATTGTATTAGCAAACCTCACTCCATTCTATGACGATTCTGTAACACCACCTGCCATTGCATATCCCCCCTATTATACCAGTTTAGGAGTTGTGCACTGAAGATTTTTGGCATATATTAGCACTTCCATGTGATTGGCAGTATACCACTGAATTCATTGCAGCTCCGCATCTATATGGCTGTAGCTCTGTAATTCAGGGCAGCGTTTCCAAGGGTTTATCTGCATTTCGGTCCATCTCCTGCCTATATAAGTCCATTACCGTTCTGTTGTTGCAAACACGGAAAGGGAAGGGTGAGCACTGGTGAAATAAGTGTTGGAAACATTAGTTAGAACTGATAATAATGAAACTGTTTTCTTAACACTGAAAGAAGGTGGTGTATGGAAAGTTGCAAGCGCTGAACCATTTGAGAAGAACAGTGAACTGCTTGCTTTTTTTTCATAAATTGTCTTATTAGAATAATTTCCTTGCAGGGAGTGTGTATATGTTGGCATCTATGAAATACCAAATAACCGAAGTAGCTCACGGTTAAGCAACAGAAAAATAAATGGCCACGGGATTTGAGAGCATTGAAATACACATTCTGACAAGTCATCCTGGTTCTTCTCCGGATTTGAGTTTGCAAAGTTTCGGTCTGGCTTCAGGCAGTTATGCGGTGGTTTGGTTTTATTATGTGGTTGCTCAGACTGCGTTATCTGTCAGTGAAATTTGAAGCCGGTTGCTGATGTCACCTGGGAAGGGATGTAGTCTGTAAAATACCTGAAGTCCAAACCACTAAGGGAACAACACTAAGAAAAATGGAATAGGAGAGCTTCTGCCTGGTAAAAAAAAAACCCAAACCCACCAAACCCCAAACACAAAAAACCGTAAAACAAGCCCCGTGCTTTTAAACTCTCAGGCAGGCTTTCCTAGGAAGAAAAATTAAGACTGGTGCTTGGCAAAGGCGGGGTGGCGAGTGGGCCCCCTGAGCCCTTCAGGCGCACCTTCGCGCCCTGGAGGGTCCCGCTTTGACTAGCCCGAGGCTCGGCCGGGCACAGCGCGGGGCCCGCCGCCCGGTCCCTCCGGTCACTGGGAGTCCCCGCAGCCCCCGCCCGCCTGCGAGCGCAGCCCGGCCCGCAGCTCCTGCGGAGACCCCCCCGGGCAGAGGGTGCCGGCGGCTCCTGCCGCAGCATCATCTTGGTTTGGGTTTCTCAGCTCCGATCGACCGGCCGGGGCGG